GTTTTGTAAAAAACGTATTTGTGATGAATCAATCATTCAAAAATCATTGTGTTTGTAGAAGGTACAAAATTTGATCATTCTATTTCTGGCCTCGTTTCTGTCACCAGGTGTGTACTTTCTAACTATCCTTCCTTCTTCATCGTTTCCAATTTTTGCATTCCAGTCACTAATTATCATTAACACATTTTTTTTTCATTAACACATTTTGATTGCATATTTTTTGTTGTTGTTGATGACTGCTGTTGAGCCACGCACAACTCATAGTGACTCTATGAACAAAAGACTTAATGCCTTCCCACAACTATCGTCATTTCTCCAAGTTCATCGAGTTTCCAGAGGCATGTGGTTTAGGAAGTGGATACCACTCCTGATTCCAAACCTGTTTTACAACTGGGAGCTCCACCAAACACTCTCCACAATAGTAAACCATTCTGGTATTTGATACCCCAATGGCACAAGATTCAGCATCACAGCAAACCCAGGTTACTTCATATAGCACACTGACAAGGAGTGATGTGCAAAGTGGAAGAGTGTTTCTTCAGATATAACAGCACTAGTCTCATTCAGTCATGGTTAAGTGTCATCGAGTTGAATATGACTCAGAGTAAGCTTTGCACAAAAAACTTAACTCTGTTCTATAACTAACATAATTTATGTACAGTTACAGAGTTTATAGAGTTTGTAGAGTTTCCAGAGGCATCTAGTTTAGGAAGTGGATACCACTCCTGCTTCCCAGCATGAATCAATCTGGAAGCTCATCTGAACATTGTATATAATAGATAACCATTATGGTATTTAACACGACTATGGAACAGAGTTCAGCATCACAGCAACTCCAAATTGTTCACTACACAAATAGACAAATGATTGCTATGTCTTTAAAAAAATATTCATTCTAAAATGAATAAATTTCTTAATTAATTAATAAATCATAAGGGATTTTAAAGCTGCACCCTCTAGCAGGCCTCCACCCTTGGTGAAAGGCTCAAGGGCCACCCAGTTTGAGGGGGAAAAGAGCAGTAACACACATCAAATATGACCCCCAAAAACTCCCCTTACATGACTGCTATCAAGACGAGACCACCATGGAGATTTACTGCAAAATTTTATAAAAATCTTCAATTTCCTCCTCTTTGGCTTTAACAGTTGGTACGTATATTTGAATAATAGTCATATTAATAGTATCGTATCACTCAACATTGTATTTCAGGATAGAACTTGAAATTGTCTTTTTAACTATTAATGAACCAGATACATTAATAATTTTTAGGGAGCTCTGGTGGCCTACTGGTTAGGAACTGTGCTGCTAATGTAAAAGTACAGAGTTCAAATCCAACAGCTGTTCCATGGAAGAAGGATAGGCAATCTTCTCCCTTGTGTTTACTGCCTTTTAAAATCTGCTTGAGTTTCAGGTACAGGATGGTTCCAAGCCAATGGTACTTAACAACACAACCTAATTTTTAGAAAATATTAATTATGAAAATTGGCTCAAGAAATTGACACTGAATAAACCCTTAACCAGGAAGGGGAAATTAGCCTATGAATCAAAACTATTCCACAACAATGTACTAGCTTCAAAGATTGTATAGACATTTTTTCCCTAACAATTCAAGGAAAAAATAATACAGCCGAAACAGAAGTCCTTACATGGAAGAGAAAAGGAGGGGGGATGAATTCCCAACTTATTTTAAAAGGCCATTTTAATTCTGATGTCAGTGCTACAGAAAGAATGTGAATCAACTTCACATGTGGATAGAGATTAAAATAACAAGCAAAAAAGGGGCTTTACTTAAACTCTTTCACTGTTTAGCTTATTGGTATACCAATGCAGACTGTTGTTATGAACATCTACTAGAAAACAATTTCAAGCCTCTAGTCGCAATAACAATAGACTGTTGTTGTTGCTGTGTATAGTTGAGTCAGAACCCACACAAAGCTGACCATCCCTCAGGTTTTCAGAGGCAGTTAATCACATAGGAGACTGACCATCCATCTCATAGGGCAGTTGGTGGACTGAAACCACCGGCCTTTGGGTGGTAGCAAAACTCCTCACCTCTAAACCATCAGAGTTCCATGTAGGCTGTAAACATAGGAAGTTTTTCCTAAAGAAAGGTGAGTTTACTGTACTTTGATCTTTAAAAAAAATACTGCAAAGTTATGCACAATTTCTGTTTTACTTTCTTTTTTTTTTTGGTATCTGTTTTACTTTCTTACGTCTAATTCTCTTAAAAATTAAACCAATGTTTCCACTCTTCTTGAACTAAAGTTCAACCGTGGTCACTTCAGGAGATAACCCTGTTTATCTGTTAATCAGAAGCACACATTCTGTGGCACCTATTTATATTTTCTTCATAGATGTTAAGGTTTCCACTTTATTACAATTTATAAGAAAAGAAGAAACTTTTGAGGGTTCTGTGAAGTCTTTGATGCTGCAGCTGAGGTCTGAGGAGGGCAGTGGAGGGAAACAGTCCTGATGCAGTGGGGCCAGCCCAATCACCCTTACCTGACATGGAACATTGCTCTGTTGTTATTTTTTTTTTAATTTGAATAAAGGTTTACAAATCATATCAGTTTTTCCTACAATAATTCACAGATACTATATTTTACAATATTAACTGCTGTTGATTAGTAGGCTTAATTAATTAATTAATTAATTTCAATCTCAAATCAAACCAATTTTGAGTAGTTCTTTTCCTTTTACCCAACTTATTACCTTTTTTCCTGCTTCCAGTTTGGTTTGTAGTAGCAAAATGCTTTATATAATCCCCTAAATGCTGAAAAACTTCTCTGAATTAAAGTTCTCAGGCGATTAGCTTGAGCTGGGAATATCTGTACACTTAAATATGAGATAGTAAGGTTTTTGTTAGTAATTTGTTTCTCCATTTCATTTTAAAAAGAAATTATCCCTCTTGTATGGCAGCCTCATGCTATGGAGCTGTTCTGCAATCCCGAAGGCATGCAGTTCAAACTCAACAGCTGCTCTGCAGGAGAAAGAGAGGCAATCTCCTTTGTGCGATTAATAATGTGTCTGAAAACCCAGTGGAGGGTCTGTGTTTCCAACAAAACAGTACACAACAACAACAATTTGTATTATAATAGGGAGCTCTCATATTGTAGTCTATAGGAAATGGCATTGCTAATCCACTGGTGATGCCTGTCTGATGGTTCAAATCCACCAGCAGGTCCTTGAGAGACAGAGGGACCATCTTTTCTCACATGTTTTATAGTCTCCAAAACCCTGATGGAGGGTTCTGGAGGGTCAACTAGGAGTAGGCTCTGACATGATGGCAGTGAAGGTTTTTGGGGGGCATGGTGATACTTCCTAAGAAAGGCGAACAACTGCTACAATTTATTCTACAAAAAAATAAGGAGAAAAAAAGGAAGAAGGAAAGCATGATTAAGAGTAGGAAAAAAGAAGGGAGGAAAGGGGTGAGGGATAAAGAGGGGGAGAGGATATCCTAAACTTAGGCAAAAAGTTGAACATATCCTACTTGACCTTTGGATACTGGCTATTGTCAGGGCTTTGATCTGAATTTATTATGTACCCAAATCTATCTGGCATGTTCCAGACAAACTGGATTCCAGACTGAATTCAGTACTTGAAGTATCATGCAGAATTGTAATACTTTTTTCAAGGTGCTGCACAGGTTCAAACAGCTCACAAATTTATCACAATGCTTTTGCAACAGCAATGCCTTTGAATTTGAGATACTGTAATTTAGTGGTCCTGGATGACTGCATAATCACTCCCTGCTGGGCTGAAATTCTACATTCTGTCTTCCCCCAAACTCTCACCCATTTATCATCTATCCAGACAAAAACTGTACTTGGAATGTTTTCTCCATGCAAACATGGAATTTCAAAGCAATTGTTGGGCTGGGAAATGCTAAATTTCTCAAAGATACATTATTGACTCCCAATTCGCCATGTGCTATCTTAATTTGCTCTTTAATTGCTTCATACATGAATGTTTAATGCCCTGCCTTTTAAATCTGTTTGCGATATCCTCGAGATCAGAAATCACATGATAGGAGAAAGGGCATATTACTTCTTTTTTCCACTGTTTCACTTAAAATGTGAGTTATTCTTCTGCAACAGCTGGGCCACTGAATATCATCATATGAACTGGTGTCTTAGTAAAATCACTTTACTTTCGCTATTAGAGGAGAATGTTATCAACAGAAGAGCTTAGGTAGAGAGTAAGATAGAGACTTGGTGGTGGGTGGCAGGTTTTTGTTGCCTTTTTTTTTAAAGTCCTTTTTCTACCTTTAACTGAACCCTGGTGGACTAGTGGCAAGAACCGGTGCTGCAATGCCCAAGGCATGCAGTTCGAATCCACCAGTTGCTCTGCAGGAAAAGGATGGGCAATCTCCTCCCATGTGATTAACTGCTTCTGGTAAACTGCCAGAGAGTCAGATCCAACTCGACAACGAACAACAACAACAACAACCTTTAATGAGTACTATACTTGAATATATTCTCTAACCTTGTGAATTTCCAAATCCTCATTGTCACTTGGGAATCAAGAGAGTGGCTTCACCCGACAAGTACTCCCTCACCCCAGTTTATTTTTTTGAGATAATGACAACATAACTGGAAAGCATGCAGTACATTATCTGATCCAACTTGGCTGGTGCCCAATAAATATCCACCATTATTATATCGAGTTTCTTCTAAAACTTATGTGCTCAGATTAGCATAGAAGGAAAACCTTAATTATCACGCACCTCTATCCTCGGTATCCTCAACTATCTGACACTACTTTGGTCTCCAAAGTAGAAATAAATAAAAACTCATTGAACAGAGTGATTCAGGGCGCACTTAGTATTATTTCACTCAGAGAGTAAAGAGAATAATTTAGATAACCAGTGAACTTATAATTGAGCCTGTAAAACAAGGGATGAAGATAACTGCCAAGAAGACTGTTCTGCAAGGCATGCTCGGAGTGAGACACAGGATGCCATCAGTCTACGGTCATGAGTTTACACAAGCACACTGACCTGGCTGGCTGGAAGTGAGGACCAGAACACCCTGCTCACAGGTGGACTTACCTGCATGAAAGAGAAAAATACTTGATGAATACTATTGCTGCCTTAGGAACATGAGCAGCCTTGGAATTCTCAGCAGGGTTTTCCTCCACTCCCCCTCCCACAAGGGCAGGCCTTGCTTTACTTTGCCAAAGTGTCTGCACAAAAGTGACATTTCTCTGGGTCAAATGTATCCTGAAATACGGAGGGTAGCATTTTGTAGCATTTGTTAAAATATATTTTTGAACATGTGGGTATTCTTAAAAAAATTAAAATGCACTTGGCTGCACACCAGGGGATGGGAATAACAAAACTCTTACATTTTATAATACAGGAGTCATAGAAAAGGGACATGCCATTGCCCTCAAAGAGCATTCCTGGATATTATTAACACAACTAAGAGTCCCTGGCAGGCACCAACATTAAGTGCTTGGCTACTAACATAAAAGGAGGAGGTTTGAATCCATCAAGAGTTACCTCCAAAGAAAGACCTACAATCTATTTCCAAAAGGTCACAGTACTGAAAACCCCCTGAAGCACTGCCCTTTTCTGATACACAGCATCACCATGAGTTAGAATTGATTAGATGGCTTATCATAACTGAAGAATGGAGCAGTGCTGCCACTTCCTGTTAAACTGTATTTGTATAGGACAGAGACAGTAACAGCAAACCATTTCAATCTCTGTTCTCATGCACTGTCCCATATGATTAAATTTATACTACCTTCTGTCACTATGGGTTGCAGGCGACTCGACAGCACATAACAACCACAACCTTCCAAATCTGGGAAAATAACATGTGATGGAGACGTGTTGAGGGCCACTGTGCTTTTATAGCTAACACCACCTGCAATTCAATAGGTTTTCAACTCCTCCCACACTGAAATGAATCAGTTAAACCCTTTCCTCATATTTAAGGCCAAGCATGATCCAGGAACCTCAGAGAAGCTCTGTTTAATGTAATCACTTACTACACACTCCACCTGTGGAGCAGGATGCAGACACTGAATCTGTTTTCTAGTAACCAAGTAGCTCGAAAGAGGCACTAGAGTTATTGGAAATAAAATATATTTTCATATTTCCAAAGGACTTTCCCTAGGTACCCTACCCCTCAAAAACAGACTGTCCAAGTCAAACAGTTTATTGGCTATTTGATGTAGGAGGACATGACACAAAGATGTAAACTACTGATAAAGAACAGTACTATTGGTGCGGTTTAGAGAGGATACAGAGCAGCACCGAATATATAGCATGGCCTCCTCTGGGGTCCAGGGAGTCCCAAACCAGGGACCCTTCAACCTGGGCATCTGTATGGCTGGGCTCCAGCAGAGTCTGAGAATAGCACAGGCTGGGAAAGTTCAAAGTCAGGGTGACTCTTTTGGTCTCAACTTCCTAGATCTCCCTAGTTCTGAGTGCTTCTCCATGCGTTATCCACCCCCTCCACCCCCCAGCAAATGTGTACAGTCAGCGCCAAAGGCGCAGCTTGTGTACTGACGCGCAAAGCCAAGTCAAAACCCTGCGCTTGGCGCGCCCTTCTAAACTTTCTGGCTTGTCCAAGTCTAAATATTGACATTGCTCCTCGGTTGAGATGTTTGATACTGCTGAGGCTGGAGCAGGCACAGCTAACAGTGCAATCTAATGCTACACTTTCACGGAGTCGGGCCTTCCATTTCCTCATCGCGGGGGTGGGGGTGAGGGTGGGTGGAATCCCTTGTCTGCACCCCTTCCCCCTTAGAGTTCTCTTCCAAAGCTAGCATACAGAGAGACAAGGTGTGGTGTTTTGCAAGCCCCTCAAGGCAGCACCTACGGTTGTCACAGCAACTCACAACAGACTCCATAGACACGGGGGCGGGGGGGGGGGAGCAAAATGTGGGCTGACCAATCAAGTCTTAGGGTTTGCAAGCGCCACGGGGAGAGCATAGCCCCCTTTTCAGGTTCTCTGGTTCCCCACCACTGTCCTTCGAGGGAAAAGAGCCCTGTTACAGGCGCGCCACCAATCCTTCCCTGGGTGACTGTTGTACATTTTCTCAGCTCCAAGTTTGGGGCGCGGCTGTGTGGGTGCTCCTAACAATCTGCTGGTCCCTGGCCGTGGGGTTGGAGGGGGTTTCTGGCCTTGCGGCGGGGCAAGGGCGCCCCCGGCTCGGTCCCACAAGTCTCTCTCTCGGGGTGCTGGCGGCCGCGTGGCGCGGTTCCGGGTCCCCACTTGCCACCCCCTGGGGCCGGGGCGGTGGGGGCTGCGCGGCGGGTGCTCGGAGAAGTTTCCCAGCACAGCGCACTCACGACACAGAACCTACCCTGGAGCCGAGCGAGACGCGAGCTCTCTCCGCCTTCAAGGGCTGGGGGGGAGCAAGGGGGCCCCCCCGCCACTCAGCAGCAGCCACGACTGCGCGCGGTCGCGGGTGTGCGGGGCCCCTGCGTGCGGCGTACCGCCCGCCGCCCAACTTTGCACAAAGGCAGCATGGCACTGGCCGGGCGGGCGGGCTCCCCGGCGCTGAGGCGGCTGCGGCGGGGCGCTGGCGCGAGGGGCTCGCCCCGTCCCCCCCCCCGCCCTCCCCTACGCTCTGCCCCCACCCCACTCCCAGGCGGGGCGCTCGGGCGGAACCCGCGCTCCGCACCTAGCTGCGCCGCGGTGGCGGCTGCCTCTCGCACTGTGACGTTAGCAGCCTCCTCGGCTATTTATATCCGCACGATTGGATTTCATTCATGAAACCAGGGCCTGGCGTGTCTGTGCGCTGGGGCACGGGTGGCAAAGGTGCCTCAGCTTTACGCAGACTGGAGGGGGGCCTGGGCTCCAAGGCAATCTGCCGGGCACGAACATGTCCAGGGTATGGAGACCCCAGCCCTTCTCCCCAGCTGCCCCAGGGGGAGGACCTGGAGGGTCTGCGCTTCCCCCATGCCCGGCGCCCCCCACCCGTTCCCGCACATCCGCTGGCCCTTTGTCCCAGGTTCTGGAAAAGTAAGTTGGGCCACTAACCGACTGGGCAGCATGGCTCTCTTCCCCCTAGGAGCTGGCCGGCCGTGGACTCCGAGGGAGGACATTGGCTTTTGTTTCAAAATCGAGCCCAGCTGCTGACTAAGGGCTGCGCTAGCCCAGCCTCCTCCTCTCCTGGGCGATGCACGTGCTGGCAGGGCCCCCCCCCCTCTGGGTTACCTTCCTCCCGCGTTTCGGCTCCTGGGGTCCCCGCAGGGGGCGGAAGGACGCTTCAGCTGCCCCCAACCCAATAAAGAGGCGATTTACAACCTCCTGTAAATGGCTGAGGGAGGAGGTGAAATTGACTTCTGGCTGCTCGTGGATTGTCAGAAATCTTGGAAACCCACGACAGCCCATCCCAGCTCAGGAAAACTCTTCTCGCTCTTCCTGGACGACTGTGGGCTCCAAGGACTGAGCTAGGGGAGTTTTCATGCATTCACATAACAAAAAACAGGGCAAGCATCTACAGCATGTCAGGTACCCCCTGCTAGGCTATGGGTGGGTGACATGATCATGCCAACTTGGCCCATGTCCCCAAGGAGTTTTCCCTCTAGTTGCTCAAACCCCCTCTGCTCCCAGCCTGTAAACAGGCAACTGGTGGGTAAAGCTACGTCTGCGTTAACTGCGTTACTGGATATTTAGTAAATCTTTATTGAAGCGGCAGTGTATCAAGTCCTAGCTCTACAAAGAGGCAATGTTTCCTGGCCCTCAAAGAATTCTCAGGCAAGATGCTCTTTAGATATTGAAAGTCAGGGAAAGATGACCCATATTTTATTGTAAGGGCGATTTATTTGTGCCAAGAAATAGTTCCGGGGGCGGGGGCTTCCAAAGCAAACAACCTCCTTGTCTCCCCACATTGAGATGTAGTCCTCTCTCTTTCCCAGGACTTTCAGTTGAGTTCCTGTCCACTGCAACAGACTTATAGCTCATCTTCTAACAGGTTTTCAGGAGTTATAAATCCTCCAGGGAGGAGACTACTAGAACAACTGGTGGATTTTAACTACTGGCCTTTGGGTTGGTAACTCCTTAAAACTGGGCTACCAGATCTCCCTTTCAGTCTGCTGGGTATCTCTAATCATCACCTCTAGTTTATATTCTCGGACAGTGACCTCAACACAGAATGGAAGTTCATATTCATACAAGGAAATGTATCTCAGGCAATTTTTCCCCCCCTGTTAAAATTGTCAGTTCAAAACTACCAGGTCTCCAGGGGATGACCCCTGAAGGGTCAACTATGCGTCATGGAGTCTGACTCCATGACACATAACAATATGACAGTGTTTAGGGAATGGAAACTATACGGCCTGAAAGTGACTGGAAGAAAAAGTAGAGTCCTAATCTTTGTTATCTAGAAGAAATGAAAATCAAGTATGGGAGCTGAAGAACTTCAAGGCAGATACACAAGGAGGTGACAACACAAAATGGACCTCCCTTCATCTGTTTAAAAAGGACTCAAGTACATGGCACAGGATCGGGCAGGGTTCAGGTTGTTCATTGAGTCACTATGAGTCATAAAACTTGATACCTAACAACAACTATTTTGACAGGCTGAATCAAGATACATCCTTTCTGAAACACACTTCTTGGGAAAAGTTTATTGACCCCCTTTACTCCTACCTATCAGTTCTCTTTGTTACAGATTACTTCTCCTCTTCAAACTCCCTTTGGGACTAAAAAAATAGAGTAGAGTCAAAAAGATATGGGAGCCAATACGTATTGCCTTTGTGACAGGCAATGGACTTGCTATGTGCCACTGAGTCAGACTGCTCAGTTTTCTCCCACCAAGCAGCTAGTGGATTCCAAATGCCTTTGAGTTGGCAACCTTTTACCACCAAACCATGAGAAATTCTCCCAAATATGTTGTGCCGTATAATTGTCAGAACTATTGAGGGATATTATCATGATAAATCGTGAAGAGATTGAGATTGTTAACAGCTTTAGTTTGCTTGGCTCCAGAATCAACACTCTTCGGCACCAGCAGCCAGGAAATGAAAAAACAAATTGCTTTGGGAAAGTCTGCTTTCAGAGACCTCTCCAAAGTACTGAAGAGCAACGATGTCAGTCTGGAGACTAAGGTGACCCTGATTCAGGCCACAGTCTGCAATTATTTGCTATGCATCAGAGAGCCGGACAATGACTAGGGATGATAGGGAGAGAATTGATGCCTTTGAGCTGTGATGCTGGAGAAGATTATAGCATATACCATAGACTGCTAGGAGAACACACAAGTTTGTCCTAGAGAGGGTTAGACCAGGCTGCTCCTTGGAGGTAAAGATTCTGAAGCTTCGTCTGGCATACTTTGGAAATGTTGCAAGGAGGGACCAGTCCTTGGAGAGAGGCAACTTGCTTGGGAGTGTGAAGAGACATCATGAGAGAGGAAGACCCTCAATGAAATGGATTGATTCAGTGATTGGGGTAATGGGGGTACGTATGTCAGAGACCATAAGATTGGCACAGGATAGAGCAGGGTTTAGGGCTGTTGTACATAGGGTCGCTATCTTAAGGAGCCCTAATGGTGGACTAAGTAAGGTATCAAGCTGCTAACTGAAAAGTCAGCAGTCTGAATCCACTAGCTCCTCAACCGAAGACAGGTGAGCATGCTCCTGTAAAGATTTCTAACCTGGGGGTGGGGGGAGGAGGAGGGCTGGGCAGGTAGAGAAGTGCAACAATGAATGGATGGAAAACCAAAATCTCTGTAAATGTTCATTAAAATTATTTTTTAAAAAAGATTTCTAGCCTAGGCATCTGATGGAAGGTCTCTATGTGTTAGGATGGACTCAAGAGCAATGGGACATTGTTGTTGTTGTTATGTGCCGTCGAGTCGTTTGCGACTCATAGTGACCCTATGTACAACAGCCCTAAACCCTGCTCTATCCTGCGCCAACCGCAC